AAGCACTTCACCGTTGCTCTGTCTGTAATTTTGTGCTACATGTTTTGCAGGGGGAGTATGAGAGGGAGTACTAGGCCCTTAAATTGTAATTCTGGGAAGAAAATTTTTGCCGGATGTGATGGCAGATGTTTCACTGGGAGCTTCCTGGACCTATTCTTAGTCGTCTGGATCCATTTTCACTACATGCCTCTCTAACACTTTAGGAACTCAAGTGAAGATGATTCCCCCTTCATGCATGTTCCCTCCTCTGTTCACCTCACAGCAGGCACCAGAGCGAGGCCTTTTTCCTTATTGTCCAGTTGACTTGCTGAATAGCATAGGTGTATGCAGAGGAGCTTTTGGTGATCTTACTGCCTGTATCTGGCTCTCTCTTCAGAATAGCATGATCCTCTCTGCCGCCATCTTCATCACTATCTTAGGCCTGCTTGGTTACCTCCATTTTGTGAAGATTGATCAGGAGACTCTATTAATCATCGACTCACTTGGCATCCAGATGACTTCTTCCTATGCATCGGGCAAAGAAAGTACTACCTTCATAGAGATGGACAAGGTCAAGGATATTATCATTAATGAGGCTATTTACATGGTAAGTGTCTAGGTGGTATCTCTGGGCTCTCCAGAGGAGGCAGTCAGCCCATGGGGTGTGCTGGGACCTAAAGTGAGTCCTAATACAGCAGTTATTGTCACAGAACTAATCTTAAGGTACCTCTGTTCCAATACAGGTAGTTTTTTGGCTGGCATGCCTGTGAACTGTAGAAGAATGTATATTGAAGTAAAAGTTTCCTTATAGTCATGCTTTTTTCAGTGATGGAGTATGTTGCAAGGAATGCATTGTTCATGAGTTTGCTGGTTGTACAAACATCACAGCACACACTTACACTTAGATGGTATAGTTTAGTCACTCAGACATCCCATGATGGTCTGTAATAAACTTAAGGTGCTTGAGGTTGCGGCCGAGTGTAACATGGGATGCTGCTTTACAGTAGACTGTTTTGAGTCAGGGTCTCATTGTATAGCTTATGCTGGCACTGAACGTCCCATCCTCCTGCATCTATCTCTTTTTGCTTGTTGATAAATTAAAAATTTTTTGGTCTTGCTTATGCATGTGTATCTGTATATATCTTTCTGAGGCCAGAAGAGGATGTCAGATCCCCTGAAAATGGCATCATTTGGTTGTGAGCTACTCTATATGGGTGTTAGCTAGGCACCAAACTCCGGTCCTGTGGAAGAACAGCAAGCACTCTTACCTGCTGAGCTGTCTCTTCAGCTGCCTGCCTTTGCTCTTTTTATGTTTGTTTTTGAGACAGGGTCTTACCGTGAGGCACTAGCTGATCTGGAACTTACTATGTAAACCAGGCTGGTCTCAAACTGAGAGATCTACCTGCTTCTGCCTCCTGAGTGCTGGGATCAGAGATGTATATCACCATGCCTGGCTAATAGACTTTTCTTTTTTATAAGTAGGAGTGCATGCCATTAAAAAGCCTAGCAAATAAGTAAACCATGACTATTTTGGAGAAGTAGCAGATTGTCATGGATAGAGTCACCATTTCACCTTTTATCCTGTAGCTCAGATGCAGACACATCTTTTTGTTTGCTTACTTGTTGCTTTTTTCCTCTTGGAAATGAGGTCCTACTATGTTGCCTAGGTCTAATATCTAACCTAGTCTCAAGCAGCCAGCTGCCTTGGTCCTGGCTGGTGGGACTTTTGGTTCATAGGAACATACTTAGCTTTTATTTTATTTATTTATTTTTTGGAGGGGGTGGTCATTTAAAGGACAAAATGTAGGCAACTGGACACATGAAATTGTGAAGGAAGATACAAAGCTAATTGCTCTTCTAGTTTCAAATCTGTCATGCTTTTTCTTTTTTTTGTAGTAGAAACATGGCATAAAAGTGCAGTTGATAAAGAATAAAGCCCTAAGTGAGGCTCTGTGGCTTCAGAGTGGCCATTCTGATTGTATGTAGTTTGAGTAATTACACTAACCTAGCTATGATGTTTCTGTTTGTGAGCACATTACAGTACAGTGATCTCTTGCCATGTTGGCTCATGCCTTTCATACTAGCACTTGGGAGGCAGGTGGATCTCTCTGAATGAGTCCAGCCTGGTCTACAGAAGGCATTCCAGGCTAGCCAGTACTTAGTTAGACTCTGACTCAAGAAAAACAAAGCAAAAATATTTTTTATATATAAAATAAAAATAAGAGATAAACATTACTTCTCCCCCCCCCACCCCCCCAGACAGGGTTTCATTGTGCAGCCTTGGCTATCCTGGAACTCACTCTGTAGATCAGGCTGTCCTCACACTCAAGAGATGCCCCTGCCTCTGCCTCCTGAGTGCTAAGATTAAAGGTGTATGCTGCCACCAGCACCCCCTGGCAAAAATATACTTTTCTTCTACTTCAGAAGTTGTCAGATATTTCACTACATAAGAAATACTTTACAAAAAGGACTTTTTAGTCTTCCCCCAAAGAAAAAAGGAACAAGATGAGTTTTACTGAGGTCTCTGTCTGCTTTCTTTTCTTACAGCAGAAGGTCATTTACTACCTTTGCATTTTACTGAAGGATCCAGGGAAGCCTCATGAGATATCCCAAGTAGTTCCTGTCTTCCAGGTGAGCACAGTGCTCTCCCTTTCTCCTATAAAATCCTGCCTTTTCTCTTTCTGCTTACCCTTAAGTTGTTTCTGCTTACCCTTCTATTGTCAGAGTACTGGAAATATCTGACAACCAATTTGAGTAAAAGGTTGTTTTTTTTAGATTTTAGAGAAGGTAGTTACCCATCATATACCCACTTCTACCTACAAATCACGTTCTTGTACTTCAGGTCTGTCCATCTATAGTTTTACATTGATATCTTAAGGTTGAGAGTCTTTTTACATATATATTTGTCTTTTCTATAGCAGCCCTTATACTTAAATTGTATTTTATTTCATTATATTGAAATATCAAGCTTATTTAACTATGTTATTGATAGGTTTTAAATAATGTCTAGATTATCTTCTGTTTTGATCTTACAATAAAAACCACTATGGTGGTACATGCCCCAAACCCCCTCATTGTAAACTATCAGTCTTCTCTGCTAGATGACCAGAACCTAGAGATCAGTTATGTATTTGTAATGATTTTGTATTATTTTGAATAGAAACATTTATTAAATGGACGTTCTTTATACAGTTTTCCTATTCTGTGGCTTGTCTTTTAATTTTAGTTGTATTATATTTTATAACACAGAATCTTTTCATATTAAACTGCCCATCTTGTCCCTGAGGCTTATTTCACAATTTGTAACATTTTTTCAGATGGTTCTGTCTCACTGTCATATAATTCTATCAGGCTAAAAGCTGTATATTGCACGCTTATAATCCCAGCATTCAGAAGGCAGAGCCAGGCAGATCTCTTGAGTTTGAGACAACCTTATCTATAAAGTAGTTATAGGACAGCCAGGACTACACAGAGAAACCTTGTCTAGAAACCAAACCAAACCAAACCAAAACCTGTCTTTTTATTCCCCACACCCCCACACATGAAGTCATGATTTGGAGACCTCCCGGCAGGGTACTCATCCACCTGTGTCTCTTAGCTCACAGCTGCCATTTAGAGCCCATTGTGTAGGTGAGTTGAAGGTACAGGTGAATGCTTCTTATACTCTCCTTGACTCTGCATTTCTCCCCTTTGGAATTCAGAGTGCCAAGCCCCGGTTGGACTGCTTGATTGAAGTATACAGAAGCTGCCAGGAGATTCTGGCACACCAGAAAGTCACAGCAACAAGCCTCTGAGTCTCAGCATTCAAAGGCCAGTATTGTTTTTATGGAGAGGACTCCTAAACCATAGTGGCTGCTTTATTTTCGGTACTGTAAAAACCATCAGGACATGGTCCTGAGAATCAGAATGGATGAGTAGATCTCAGAACCACAGAGGAGGGGCTGGAACTTGATTCATGTTCATGATGTATCATAATGTTCCCTGTATACGTTTTATCTATATTACTAATCAAGGGGAGGCCTTAAGGATTTTGACATGTCAAAAGAAGGCCAGTCATAGTGGCACATGCCTTTAGTCCCAGCACTCAAGAGTCAGAAGCAGGTGATCTTTTGAGTTTAAAGATGTTCTGGGCTACACAGTGAGTATTCCCACCCAAAACAAAAGTATTGTCCAAAAAGAACACTGAAAATTTTAAGTACCTTCATTTTTGTGTTAAAATCTGTGGAGTATTAAGACTGGTACCAGAGTTCACAAGAAAAATAATAATTTCCATCTGTATAGACTCTTAACTAAAAGTTATGGAAAAATGAGTCACATTTTAATATATGAATTAGCAGGAATAAAATGCCTTATAAAGGACTAGCCTCTGTTTACCTAGCTCTTATGGTCTGTGCAGGATGATGACTCCCTAATCCACAGTTTAGCTAGGCATGGTGTAGATGCCTGTAATCCCAGCTCCCAGAGAGTGTCAACAGGAGGATCGAAAGTTAGAGGTCAGCCTGGGCTACATGATGAGACACTGTCTCAAACCCCAAGATAAACAAACATCCACAACGCACAGTTATTGTCTGGAACACTGACAGTTTTTTATTGACAGACATGATACACAGCATTTCAGCCACGGGTGTCAAGCATATTAGTACCTTTCTGTTACTTAATATTTTCTATTGCTCAAAAGCTCTTTGTCTAAGAGGGCTTAGATGAAAAGTGAGAGATTACATGTTGGTTCCCAGACATGAGACTGTCACATTAAAGGATGAAGAAGCCAGTTTACAGTAGTCTTTGTTTCAAAGGTGGTTCCTTAGATTCTAAAGATCAGGAAGGAGAAAAGGAGCTGACAAGTCGGCATTTGCCTTTAATCCCAGCACTCGGGAGGCAGAGGCAGAGGAGGCAGAGGAGGCAGAGGCGGCAGAGGCGGCAGAGGCGGCAGAGGCGGCAGAGGAGGCAGAGGAGGCAGAGGAGGCAGAGGCAGAGGCAGGCGGATCACTGAGTTTGAGGACATCCTTGTCTATTTAGGGAGTTCCAGGACAGCTAGGGCTGCCTAGTGAAACCCTGTCTCAAAAAGAGAGCAAGAAAAAGAAAAAAGAAGAAGGAGAAGAAGCAGCAGCAGCAGCAGCTAATTTGACCTTCAAGTCTAGTACAAACAGTTGCATTAGTTGGAATTCTGTTTACAAAACAAAACCAACCTGAGAACAGACTACATCCTTACTGGCTTTAAGGCCCTTGGGATGTAAACCTAGAACTGCATTCTCTGCCTTTCACCTAGCCTTGACGGAGCTGTCCAGGAGCCTTTAGTGATGTGACTTGAGGTAGACCTGTCTCTATTAGAACCCCAAATCTGGGGTAGGAGTTGGGGTGCAAACAGAAGTGGCTATAAAGCTGCCTGGCTTGCAAGTCAAGCTCTTTTAAGGGGCAGACTCTTGTGCCTTTTTAAACTCCAGCTTGTCAGTTCAAAGGATGAAAGATTACAGCAGCTGAGGCATTCCGACAAACTAATTTTTGCAGTTTCTTGTGGTGTACAACACACACATTGTTGGGTTAAAGGCTTATTTCTTGATACTCTTCCTATTCCCTAGTCCATGTTACTGAAAAATAATAAAACTGCCTTAAAGCTACATAATAAAGCTTATTTTTTTATATGTTGGAAAACCAAAGTATGAACTTTATTATTATTTTTGTGGGGAAAGGTAGAAATAAAGATCATCTTCACCAAAATCAATGAGAAGGCTTGAGTTGAGAAGGATTATAATATCCTCAGGAAGGCAAAGTTGAAAGAAACTTTCTCCACATATTACTAGGGCAGATATATACATGCCCTATGCATCCAACTAATTTTGAGAAGCCATCTACAAAGAGTCTTGGTGAGCAATTCAGGCCTTCCAAGAATGGAAGGGTCTTTAGTGTTCCTGCTGTCTTGTGTCTGGTGGCCTCTTAGAGCAGCAACAAGCAAAATTCATGTGCTTGGTCTTTGAGAGAGTAGGGAGATGACCACCTCGTCCTTCAGTAGTGAGCACAGCTTTCACTGAGCCTTGTTAGGCCTTAAAATGACACAGGAAGGGTGCAGACTGGCTCTGTCCCTGCCTGTGCTAGTCCAGTGTGAGAGAAAACGCTTTAATCTTGACAGGAATACTGTGGTGTCCTGAAAAGACTAGAGCTGCTGCCCCAGGAGGGGCATGGCAAATGCCTCGTCATTTTTTTTTCTCCAGCTTGGCCAGTGTTTTTCCCATTTGGGAAAGAAGTCCAATTTTAGAGATTTGTAGGCATTTGCCGGAGTTTAGGTGAATTAGGAATTTTAGTCCTATTTTATTCAGGGATGTTGAGAAAACTTCAAGTATAAGTCCCCACGGAAAGACCATGTACAATATAAAATGATGAGCTCCCCTGAGTATCAGTGCAGAAGCCCCAAATACAGTACCATTGCCCTGGTAACTGTGGGCCATCCCTGTCTCAATCTGGAATCAGGTAGCATCCAGAGTCAGTATTCTTGTAAAAGAAATAGTGGTTTTGATGTTGGGTCTGAATCTTAAAACACTGGGCCTTGAAAGATAAGGCACCTAAAGGACACAAAGGTTTCAAGAGACCCTGAAATAGACGTTTCACAAGAGTTTGAGGAGGGGGCCATTAGACCCATCACAGTAGTAGTATGCTCCAGGACATAAATCTAATCCCAGAGGCACCAATGGTGGCAAGGGTATGGGGAGAAGAAACGTTCACAGCAAAGCTGACCCCTTAGTGCAGGAAACAGAAGCAAAGAACTGTCCATCCAGGTCTCGGGGCTGGTGGGCTGCAGGGAGCTTGGCTGGTAGGTTCAGAGTTGCAGAACAGTGGTTCATGTAACTGGCCATCATTAAGGTAGTTTCTGTAATCTAAGGAGGTCAGGGAAGCAAAGGATTAAAGTAGCCTTGTCTTGAATGCTGGCTTTTTCACTGGCTATAACATTGGGTACACATAGAATACCTGGGCTTTAGTTGCCCAGTAAAATGTACCTCTGTTGGCCTAGAGAGTCTGAAATGCACAGTACCCTCCTGAGGAATGGAGGGACAGCAGTGGCTGGATCAGGTAGTTCCCACCAAGTTCCAGCTCAGTGGAGAGATGGACATGCTATTCCACCCGGACCCTTGGGGATGCTGTACAGAGTTTCTAAGTATCAAGCTTACTACATTACACCAGGGCAGGGTAAACTGTTATGGTAGCTGTCAGACCCACCTTGGGAGCAGGCATTCGGAAGGTCAACTTGTCAATATGGGTTTTTCCAGAGCTCTGGTCTGGAATGGATCTAATCACAAGCATGAAGTCATCCCTGCAGCCACCGAACGTTGTCACTGAAGAGTAGGGATAAGTGATGTTCACCTGCTGTGGGAGGAGCCAGTCGAGTTCAGGGGAAACTGTTTCTTTAGACAAGGGATCCTTAACCAGGAAGGGAGAACCCAAAGGTGATGGTAATTTGGAGAGCTAAATCTTGATGTATGTAAGTTGTATCCAGACTATAGGACAGCACTGCTCGGCAGAAGTTAGAGAAAGGAATCATGGCCACTTAGTTCAGGCCTCTGACCAGAGCAGACAATACGTGTTTCAGAATAAGAAGGATTAGAGCCAGCCTTTTCCTCTCATACCATAGTGCGGTGGTCCAGGATGCTGACACCATCCTCATTCACAGCAATCCACACCAGAGTGTTCTCCTTAGAAGACAGCTGGGCAGGCTGCAAAAACAGAAAAAGCGTATCAGACAGACACACCCACAGTTAGAGAATCTAAATATAAGTACTCTCTGAGGAAGAGGGGTCCATCCAGAGAGTCTGATGGGTAATCATATCATCATGGAAAACACAGCAAACAGCATTTGTACAGCATCGGGGATGCTTGTAGCAGGAGGCATTGGCCTTGGGGCTCTGCCACCCAGCATCCAAAAGGTGGAGGGAATCACACCTGCCAGAACAGGATGGAAAGCTCTGTGGTCAGAACACAGGCTGAACTAGGGGCTGGACTTGTAGCTCGGTCAGTAGGTATTTTCTCCTGTACCCCAAACTCTCACAAACAAAATATATCTTGTTTTAACCAATCTCCTAGGGACTACAGAAGAACAGGAAGACAAGAATTCAGTGATACGGGCCTTAGGTCTTCTCAAGGAGTTTGTGACTATTTGGTAGCCATTTCCTGGGTGTTTCTGTCAGAGCTACAGTGAGGTGCTTCAGAAGGTCTCTCTCTGCTACCCAAGAGCCTGGGGGAAGGAGGCAGAAGCTTTCCCCAACCTTCCAGGCCACCGGCTTTCTATTACAATAGTGCTGTATTTTTACTTCACTGACAACCCTTTTCTCCCTCCCGCCCTCCCTCCCTCCCTCCCTTCCTCCCCGCCATGAAGGCATGTGCACACTCTTGTCCATGGACACAAATTGTAGGTATAGCTTAGAGGCATTAAATATTCATGTGCAAAGTCCTGGTTTGGTCCCAGCACATTCCCCAAATTGAACAGATAGAGGTTAATGTTGCTAAGAAAGACTGAAAAGACTGGACACATGAGTGTGAAGAATACTTGTTTGAACAGTGCCTCCATTATTCTGTTCCCTCAAGTTTGAAAGCCTCTTGAAAGCAAGGGACTGATTTGTTCATTTCTTTAAAAACATTTTTTAAAATTTACTTTTAATGTGTAGGGTTGTTTTGCCTACATGTGTGTCTGTATACCACATATGTGCTTATATCCAAAGAGGCCAGAAGAGGATACTAGATCTCCTCAGACTGGAATTGCAGATGGTTGTGAGCCACCATATGGGTGCTAGGAATCGAACCTAGGTCCTATGGAAAGGCAGCAAGTACTCTTAACTGCTGAGTCTTCTTCCCAGCCTTTTTATACCTTTAAACAACTGGAACTAGATATGTTCTGCTTTCAACAACCTATCTGTCCATGCTAGATAGGTGAGTGAACGTCCATTTTCTTACTTGTAGCTTCAGAGAACAGGACCTGGTTCCAGTCTCAGTGTCTGATTATAATGTCTGGTCACAGGGAGTGTCTGTGATTAACTGTAAAGTTCATGCATACCAGACACCTACTGACGGAAACTTCCAACTAAAATTACTATTTGCCTCCTGGCCTTCAATGAAGAGGCAAAAGTAACTGCTGTCTGCACAGTCTGATTCCCTTGGGTGGTCCATTTCTGTCTACCTCTGGGCTTTTGGGTAGCCAGTCAAGATGAGTTTGTTTAGGTCATACATTGTCTTTTCAGTCTGAATCGTCATGTGTGATTTAGTTGAGCTTGTCTGTGCAGGAGAAGCACTGCCAAGTCAGTAAAGGAAATGTGAATTAGAACTCAGCTGTGGACCATGGTCTGGTCAGAAATGCCTGAGGAAACAGCAGTTCCTAGTGTTTGATAGCGAGGAGGTGGGGGCTGCAGACTGGACTGATGGGCTTATGGCCAGAGAGAGGGGAGAGAAGCTCCAGGAAGAACAGGATCTGAGGGTCTGGGCAATTCCTTTTCCTGTCACTTACCTGAGCAGCAAAGAGCTTAGCACCAAAGAGAGGCCATTTCCGAGCCACAGTCAGGTAGATGCGGATGCACTCAGGAGGGGAGCATCCTTGTAGCGCTGCCCACTTGGTGGCCATCATGTCTGCCAGGTGCCTGGTTCAGGTGGGTGGAAGACAAGGTGCTAGTGAAGCACCCGCCTGCTTTCATCACAGCTCCCAGTTTCCCACAGGTTTCCTCTGTAAGACCTTGCCTCCAGCCTACCTCAGCTGCTCAGGGGGTGCTCCGTTTCGATAGCGCCTTGGGTAAAACCTGTCAAGGACCTGCTGGAGGAGATGCTGAGCTTTGGCAGGAGGTGTACTCGCAGGGCCTGGCAGCGTAGGCTTCTCCAAGTCCCCATACTCCACCTGAAGTAGAAAGAGGCAGCAGTCATGAGCCTGGGTGAATGGTGAGGGTGGGGCTGCTGTTTGAGAGGTGAACAAGCCCCTGGCCACATCACTGCCTTATCAGATAACAGTGATAAGAATCAACCCCATGTTTCTATAGACATTAGAGAACCATCCTTGAGGTCCCAGAATAGTAGCTTGTCTAGATCAGCTCTCATTTGTGGCTAAATGCTAGAAGAGAGATGGGGTTACAGACTTCGGAAGACAGAAGAGGGCTTGGTGTCAGACACCCAGCTCAGGCAGTAGCCCCTTGAACTTTGCTCAGGTTATTAACTCTGCATGTCAGCTTCCTTTTTCTAAGTGGTGATGAAAAGTATACAGGAAAATACATCTGAGATGTTGCTTGTGGCCTGCTACAGGGTATTCACATTGATGATTTTAGCTGTGAAGAGCCACTGTGCGGCCCAGGCTGGCTTTGAATTTGTGCCAACTCTGCCTTAGCTCTCCAAATGCTGGGATTATAGGTGTGTGCCACCACGTCTGGCTACATCCACACTTACAGGAACCATGGAGATATCCTGGAAACCATAGCAGATAGCCTTCTACACGAAATACAAAGGAGAGTCATTGTAAATGTGTGCTCTTAGCTTTCTACTTAGAACATGGGGTGGTTCATAAAGTTTATCACATGCATAGTGGGACATATTCTGCTCAAGTACTATGCTGGGTAGCAGCAGAGAGGGAATTGTGTTTTTCAAATACTCAGAAATAAACTGAAGCACTGAGAAGCAACTTGACCAAGCTCTCATATTGGAGGGAGGCTGGGACGTCAGCCCAGGCTCTCGGTTCCCTGTCATCTTCTGCACACAGCAGCCATGTGCAGTGAGTAAGGAGATCACTCCCTCTGTACAACAGAGCCCCCTCCCTGCTGCCACACGATCTGCAGTCTTCTGTCAGGGTTTCATGGTGTTTCCAACAGGAAGAAACTCACCTGGGCCATCAAGGCAGCCATTTCAAGGGCCAGTTCCTTGGTGACTGGAAATCTTCCTGCCACGATTTCTCCACTGACTTGGAAGGCAAGCAGCAGACGCTCTCTCTCTGTCTCCCCTTTGACTTGGCTTCGGAAGTACAGCCTACAGTGACGACAGTGAAAAGCCAGATCTCAGCCGGCACCCTAAACAAAAATAAGGCTTTCCCTGAATCTTTATCTTGATCCCTCAAGTGAAGATAGCTGTTTACACCGTCTGTAAGCCTCTTTTCTACTACCCAAGAAACTTGTAGCCAAGCCTAACCTAGATGTGGACGTGCAGGTCTCACCCAGAGGAACAGGTGATTAGTTCTGAACACACCACTACACTTACTGCATTTTGCATGAAGATTCTGGTACTTAGATCACAGCTTATTAGGTCTGGATGAATTACGATTCCCAAGAGACTAATGGTAATTATTTGCCTGGAGACATACTGGGATAAATTTCTCTTACTTAAATTGAAAGAACTTGTGTGTGTCCTGAAATTGATATATTAAAAAATTTTATTCCTTAGCTTTAAATATTTGGTGCTTATACCAGTCTGTACTTCATAAGGTAATGTACAGCCATCCCGTGGCCTCAGTAAGCTTCTGTGGTGTGTATGCATAGCCATGTGCACATGGTACAGAGAATGCCAACAGAACCTTGCGCTACCAGGGTCTCTTGAGGGAGCAGGAACAGAGCCAACCTAAATTCACCTTATGATTGCCACTCAGGGTAATAACTACAGCCTCTCCACCTTACTGGGACAAGCCATCTTGTTTGGGAGAGATGAGCTGGAGCCCAGGGCAGCCCTCATGTCCCCCCACCGTCAGGCAGCTCTCAGGACCTGTTCTTGTACATCAGCTTCACGACTCGTGTCCCACCCTCAGACTTTCCAGGATGCAGTTCCTTCAGCGTTTGCTCCCACTTGGAGATGGCGTCACAGATCTTAAAGAGGCAAAAGATGAACATCAGCAAAGCCCCCTTGTTGGGGGGATGAAGTACAGCCAGAGGTCGTCTCTGGAGAAGCTGAGTGAGGGAGGGCTCTGTCTTTAGAAGGTTGCCCTGTGAGGTCTGAGGCTGCAAGGATGGGCAATGCCTACCAGTACCCTTTCAGATGATGCTAAATGGCACCATGGATGTAGTTAGCATCCAAGCAGTGACCGTTGCCACAGTGACTGTGTGAAGGCTGGCCTCTGAGGGGCCAGACTAGGCAGGCCCCAGTCAAAATCATGGCATCATGGCTCCATTTTTATGTCATTCACCACATTCTCCTTTCTTTTTCTTTTCTTTTTCTTTTTGGTTTTTCGAGACAGGGTTTCTCTGTGTAGCCCTGGCTGTCCTGGAACTCACTCTGTAGACCAGGCTGGCCTCAAACTCAGAAATCCGCCTGCCTCTGCCTCCCAAGTGCTGGGATTAAAGACGTGCGCCACCACCGCCCGGCTCCACATTCTCCTTTCAATAAATACACCCAAATGCCTGCTCTGACCAAAACCTTACAGATGCCCATGCATTTACTAGGAAGAAGATATGTGGCAATTTTTTCATGCACTGCTAAAGACAAGCCCTTTGTTCTAGGATAACAAAGAGAGCAGATGCTGGAGCCAGATGCACCCATCTAGTGTGGCAGTACATTCTCACAAATGCTTAACAGCCTTGTGGTACTAGTCTCCAGACCACTGTACAGACCAACTGTCTCTTTCTAACGCTTTCCACCTACAGAGGTGCCATGAGGACCTACCACCCTAAGCATCTGTCTATAAGCATAGGCAGACAGAGTAAAAGCTAGGCGATAGTCCACACCCACTGGATCTCAGCATTGCTGTTGACTTAAGTGGCTGGCTTGGCCAGGGTTCCACGTCTTTACACTGGGCTAAGAGGCTCTGCCCCTGGCTGCTGCATAGTCCTGTGAGGGAGACAGGATTGTGAGGATTTTGTCTCTAGGGTCAAGGTCACAGGTAGCTTTCTCAACCTACACAGATAATATGTTTTAGGACGGCACAGAAATGCTACCTGGAAATTGCATCATGGTTTCAGGACCAGACAGGGCTCTGAAGAGTTAGGCATGCACATGGGACAGACTCTGACCCCACCACCAATATGTCTGAGCTAAGAGGTAGGAGTGGGGCGTTTACCTTGACATGCCCTTGAAGACAGTGTTCCAGGTCCCTGCCAGAAGGATCATCTGTGAAGAGGGCAAAGCCAGACTGGGAGGGCTTCCTCATGCCTGTCTCCTGGTTCAGCCGCTGCAGGAACTCATCAACTGTGGAGGAGCCATCGAAACCAACCACCTGGGAATGGGGAGAGGCACCCTGAGCCAGCAGACTTCCCAAGGGACTGTCACGGGGGATCAAGAGGAGAGGCACGCTGAACCAGCAGACTTCCCGAGGGACTGTCCCGGGGATCAAGGAAGGGTCTGAACACAGCAGTGGAGAGGTACAAGGGTGAAGGAAAGATGTCAAAGGGAGTTGGTTTCCATATTCACATCCAGAGGAATCTGAGCTTGCCCACTAAACCGGAACTGGACAGAGGCCTAGTCACTCTTTTATAGTCAATATTCTGGGAGTTTTATCTCATGCTTTTCTGGTCCAGTGTCTCAGCTTCCCTGTTCATGAAATGGGTTCAGAAGACCTACCTGTAAGGCACCAAGCAGTACCGCACTTTGGGTTCAAATGCCTTTCTCCTTACACACTACGCATGCTATCCCCACCTCAAATCTAGGCTTAATCTGAAAGCCTACAAGGCTTAGCAGCATGCAGAAGTTTTCTCTGGATAGTAACATGGAGAGACTTGGGGTAGGGCCCATGCTCATCTGCCTTACCTGGTAAGTCCCATTGGCAAAGTGCACAGGGATGCTGAAGGGTAAGGAGTGATGGAAGGGGTTTCGTAGCAAGATGGACACTACTTCCATCCGTGATGGCCTGGCCTCCCGTTCTCCTGTCTGCAGGGTTCGCTCCACGGCTCGCTGGCAGTATATGGCATACTGGCCAGTTTCACTTCTGAAAACAGAAGGGAGTATTAGGAATTCCTTCCTCTTAGCATCCTGGAGTGTGTACCCAATACTGAGCCAGCATAAAAACTAACTGGGCTGGTTGTGGGGACCTGAAAACTAGCACATGAGATGTTATTACATTTTTATTTGGAGAGGGGGCACACTTGTGAAGGTCAGAGGACAACTTGTGGGAGTTGGTTCTCTCCTACCTCATGGGTCCTGGGAGTTGATCTCTGGTTGTCAGCCTTAGCAGCAAGCACCTTTACCTACTGAGCCCTTTCACCTGCTGCATTTGTCACTGTGGACCTACCTACAGCACATGGTTGCCATGGATTCCTTCCTTCCTTCCTTCCTTCCTTCCTTCCTTCCTTCCTTCCTTC